CCACCGCCACCCGAGACAGGGGACAGAGCTCTGGGCTTCGCTGCCTTGGGAACGGGGCTGGCGTTTAACACCCTCCCCATGCCATCAGGCTACCGGGAGCTTTATCCAGCTGGGGTGGATGCAAGCAGCAGCCCCAAGGAAACAACGCGGCTGCAGGAGGCAGTTGGAGCTGCTCCCGCAGGGAGGAGATGCCCACTGAGATGTCACAGCAATGGCCTCACGAGTCACCTTCTGATGCCGATGTCATCGGGTTGCGGTTTGGGCAAGGAGAGCATCTCCTGTCAGTTTGCCGACAACACGTCCCTCTGCCCCAGGGTGCTCGGGGACGGCTGCCGTGCACCCAGTGCTCCCCAGGAGCACAGTGAGTGGGGCCAGCGGGAAAAGCCCTGGGACGGGGTGACAAACAGTTGTCCCCAGGACAGGGAAGGACCAGGGGATGCCCTGGGGTAGACTGATCCCTGCAGCCACAGAGCTCAGCGAGCTGCTCTCTGCAGACAGCAATAGGCTCCGTCCCAGGCACTGTCAAGCCCTGTGCAGGGGGTAACGCAGGGTGCATGTCCCCAGCCCACCCGCATCCCAGGAGGGGACGGCCACGTCATGCCAGGGTGACGTGCAGGACCACACACTCGGAGCCGCAGTAGGGCGAGGGAGCCCTGTACCTGCACGATCTCCAGCATCTCCTCCCGGCTGATGTAGCCGTTGCCGTCTAGGGCGTACATGCTGAAGGCCCACATCAGCTTCTGCTCCAGCTTCCCGCGGGACGCTCAGGGCGATGATGAACTCTCGGAAGTCGATGGTGCCGTCGCCGTTGGTATCAAAGGTGCGGAAGACGTGCTCGGCGAACTTGGAGGCGTCACCGTAGGGGAAGAAGTTGGCATAGATCTTCTTGAACTCCTCCACGTTGAGGATGCCCGAGGGGCAGTCCTTCAGGAAACCCTTGTACCAGCCCTGCAGCTCCAGGTCGGAGAACTCGGTGTTTTCCCGCAGGTCCTGGAGCATCTCGGGACGCAGTTTGCTGTTTTGCTTCCCCATGCTGCTGGGACGCACCGGCCAACCCGGGGTACAAGCGCTGCAGTGGGGCAAGCGCCTGGCCCGGCTCGGGGGGGTCCCTCTGCGCTACAGGAGGGGAGAGGGACGGGGCAGCGCTCCCTGGCAGCCCCCCAAGACCCAGGCGGACGCGGATGCAGCCCCCTCCATCCCCGCTGTCCTCTCTGAGCTGTCGGGGCCAGCCCCGGGGTCCACCCAGTACCGGGCAGTGCCAGCCCCCTCGTGTTTGCGTAATAAGCCCTTATAGCTCATTTGCATAATATATAGGTGATATATAGCTGCCGTCAGGAGGGCAGAGCAGCCTGGAGGAGGGGAAGGCCAGCAGTGTGCTGGCTGAGGGTCTGGGTCCAGCCCAGCTTTGGGACTGGCCGGATCTGGGTCAGCTCCCTTGGAGGGAGGGTTATTTCCAGCTCCTCTGCTGCCTCCGTTAATATTTGATGCCTCTGGCCGGCACTGGAGCCCCGGGGAGGGCCGGAGACCACAGGTCTCTGTTCGGGACCACCTCCTTGCTTCAGGGTGCCCACACCCCAGGGGGACCCAGAGCACCCCATCCCACCGGGGTCACCCCTGAGGAGCGCGAAGGGGCCGGGAGGAGGTCAGGGTGGG